TGCGCCCCGCCGCACCCAGACCGAGGAGGTTATGCCCGGAGGGTGCCTCTGCGCCGGGGTGTAGGGACTGGCCGTTTGGAAGCGTTTGGTGGTGCTGCTGAAGCAGGGCAGGACCGGTGCCCAGGGCAGAGGAGATGCCGACGGCGTTGGAAGAGAGACCGTGGACACGGGCCTGTATTTCCAGCTCATACGAGAAGTAGTTGCAAAATAGTGAGACCTTTGGTGACAATCTCGATGAAGGAATAAAAGGCATAACCCCACATTACAACGGCATCGGCGAGACCACAGCTTGTATGCACACGGCATCAGACGTTCGAACAAACGACATCAGCATCTGTCGACCGCACCGTGCAATCTTTTTCTTTTGTAACCCTGCTCAATGTTTACAACGTGCAATATCTCTGCAACCTGCAATACTTCAATGCCTGCATCTTTGCACATCAGATCCATTTTTTTTTTCATTTTGCACTGACGAGACTATTACTACTGCCGCCTCCACATTACAACGGCATCGGCGAGACCACAGCTTCTACGCACACGGCATCAGACGTTCGAACAAATGACATCAGCATCTGTCGACCGCACCGTGCAATCTTTTTCTTTTGTAACCCTGCTCAATGTTTACAACGTGCAATATCTCTGCAACCTGCAATACTTCAATGCCTGCATCTTTGCACATCAGATCCATTTTTTTTTTCATTTTGCACTGACGAGACTATTACTACTGCCGCCCTCCAATAGATTCTCCTTGTTTGCAAACTGTCATTCTTTTGAAATTGTTTACACATTGAGATGTTCCAAACGGCATTCTTGATACATTGTTTAAACATTGCCACAGGACCTCCAATTGGCACTCATTGCTTCTCAACGCTTCTGGCTCCAGCTGCCAGGATCCAGAGCCAAAGTACTGCCAATGCAGTGTCACGAATTCAGTCGATTGTAATGAACAGCAAAAACACCGACCTGGATGCGCATCATTAAGCTGTGGTTGGCTTGCTCCAATTTTTTCTGGCGCAGTTCGACATCCTTGGCTCGCTGTTGCTCCTTCTGTAACTTGCGGATGTAATCCACCGAGGCCTTCAGTATGGTGCCTTTATTCCAGCGCATCTCACTGTGATCGGTGCGGAGGCGTAAACACAAAAGGAAATGGTTTTACCAGACTGATGTTGCCGAGACTTGGCTCGCAAACACAACACGTTAATCTCCGAAAGACACCCCAAAAACGAGGCGGCACTCACGGGTCGCTTGACTTGGGTATGAGCGTTCCGAGCTCCTTTATACGGTCGTTTATATTAAATCGCCGTCTCCTCTCAACTGTTAAGAAGGAACAAACAGGCAAAGAAATAATCATGATGAATGCACCGTGTCGGGCAACAACAGAAGATGATTTTACAAAGTGAGGAGACAACAAATCTCGACGTACTCAGGTTGTGGTTGTCTTTCTTTTGCCTCTCCTTCATAAAAGCTTTGGTATCGGCATCTGAAAGACAAAAGCTGCTTTCCATGAAATGACTCCGCAGATCCTATGAAACTGTTGAAGTTCCGCTACACATACGAGTAGATTGCACAGATTGTACCGTACCAGTAATTTCCCTTTTTATATTTGGAAGATCAGCAGGACAGGAGTTGCTGACAGTGAGAGTGGGCGCTGCCATTCCAGGGCTGTGATACACATCCAGCAGATTTCCTGGGAGCTAAATCAAACAAAATTATTAGGTAGGGCGGCTGCAACGCATGCTGACTGCCGAGCCCGAGCAAAATGTGAGGAATGTGTGAAAAGCACAACTTCCCCATTCTTGTTGAAACTCTGAACGCAAGCACCTCCCTGGGCACCCGATTCAATCCGGCGTGGAATCGGTGAAATACAAACGATCATCCTTAGCCCAACATCATTTCGGTGCACAATAAGTTGGCACGCCTACCTGTTGGTATCATCTAAGGTTTGCCACATGTAAAAAAAAAAAAAAAATCCTACGCTGTTCCGTTTTCAAAGATTACAAACCGGTTTTACCTCGCTGTGTGTCTTTTTTCTTTCTTCCAACATCACCATAATCCTCATTTTCTGTTAAGCGGAAAAAGGTGAGCAATTCCTTTGTGCCTGTAAACTCTGTAGCGTTTTAATGAGCACTAACACATTGGCCGACTTCTTGCTGTGTATTCTTACTGGTAACCCCGCCCAGGCGGCACATTTGTGACAAATGGTGAGTAAGTGTCAACTGCTTCGACTGTATATCCACTCAAAGACTCAAAGAGCTATTCCTGCTTCAGGATTCCGACACAGATAAAAGACGCTCCATTCGAGGAAGACCCCCCCCCCAAAAGGTGGTGTGACTGTTTTTCGAGAATCATGTCATGTATTAGTGAAAATCAAGCGTAGAAACATTTGAAGGGTCAAGGAAGCAGATTTTGTTTTTTTCTTACCGTATTAGGTAACTGAAGACCCGAGTCAATCAATGTAATGATGTCGTCATTAAAACTGGATTCCAGACTAATTATGTCGTCGATAACGTCTTCAATCTAGAAACAATAGATGACAGGAAACATGTAGCACAATCTGACCAGCTTTTCGGGGTCGGATCATATACAAGCAATGCTTATACTCTACACGGACTAGATCTAAAGCTCTCAGTCGTAAAAAATAATTCCACAAGCTGTAAAGCAGCCTCATGTCATAGACGCGCAAGCGGAGAAGTGGCACGGTTAATCTGCCGGTGCAGTATTTAACATCCTATTGTGACACCAGGCCAACAAGTATATGAAGACAAAAGGCATGCAACGTTCAAGTGGGACCTGGGGCCACATCCCCGCAGAACAAACCAAAAGTCATTAAGTACAAAGTGAGCTGAAGGCTTGACTTCAGACTTCTCCAAAAACACACTGCTAGTTCACAGAGAGGCAACTATTGGCAAGACTGTGTCATCTGCTGCATCAGCAAACCGCAGTTATAAAAAAGAAGAAAAAAAAAAAAAAAGAAAGAACAGGACTTGGGCATACTTCCTCCTTGTTGGAACTGATGTTAAGTAGGGCCATCGGGCTGTTAGGGGCGCTGTTGGCAGTGTGGGCAACCTCAGGGGCAGAGCTGCACTGTGGCACAGGCGATACACCGAGCGTCTGAGTAATCGCGTTGTTACTCAGAGTGGTGGAGAGGTACTGCTTCACCTGTTGCCTCTGCGCCTGCTGGATGTGATACTTGGTGGGGTTCTCGAGGTGGGTCTGCACCTGCGTCATTCAAAGCAGGCGTTCGGTTCTGTTTTCGACAAACTGAGCACACTGAGGGCAGACGGGCGACACGGAGGAGGACATGCTTACTTTCAGCACCTCCACGGGCACCTGCGCTGGAGGCGGGCGGGCAGTATTTGGAGGCAGTGAGACGGAGATGGCGGGAGTGGAGTCAGTGGGCCGGAGCTGAGAGGCGGAGGCCTGCTGCTGTGCCTCTCGTCTCTCCTGCTCCTGAGCTTGGCCTCTTACCGTATTAGGTAACTGAAGACCCGAGTCAATCAATGTAATGATGTCGTCATTAAAACTGGATTCCAGACTAATTATGTCGTCGATAACGTCTTCAATCTAGAAACAATAGATGACAGGAAACATGTAGCACAATCTGACCAGCTTTTCGGGGTCGGATCATATACAAGCAATGCTTATACTCTACACGGACTAGATCTAAAGCTCTCAGTCGTAAAAAATAATTCCACAAGCTGTAAAGCAGCCTCATGTCATAGACGCGCAAGCGGAGAAGTGGCACGGTTAATCTGCCGGTGCAGTATTTAACATCCTATTGTGACACCAGGCCAACAAGTATATGAAGACAAAAGGCATGCAACGTTCAAGTGGGACCTGGGGCCACATCCCCGCAGAACAAACCAAAAGTCATTAAGTACAAAGTGAGCTGAAGGCTTGACTTCAGACTTCTCCAAAAACACACTGCTAGTTCACAGAGAGGCAACTATTGGCAAGACTGTGTCATCTGCTGCATCAGCAAACCGCAGTTATAAAAAAGAAGAAAAAAAAAAAAAAGAAAGAACAGGACTTGGGCATACTTCCTCCTTGTTGGAACTGATGTTAAGTAGGGCCATCGGGCTGTTAGGGGCGCTGTTGGCAGTGTGGGCAACCTCAGGGGCAGAGCTGCACTGTGGCACAGGCGATACACCGAGCGTCTGAGTAATCGCGTTGTTACTCAGAGTGGTGGAGAGGTACTGCTTCACCTGTTGCCTCTGCGCCTGCTGGATGTGATACTTGGTGGGGTTCTCGAGGTGGGTCTGCACCTGCGTCATTCAAAGCAGGCGTTCGGTTCTGTTTTCGACAAACTGAGCACACTGAGGGCAGACGGGCGACACGGAGGAGGACATGCTTACTTTCAGCACCTCCACGGGCACCTGCGCTGGAGGCGGGCGGGCAGTATTTGGAGGCAGTGAGACGGAGATGGCGGGAGTGGAGTCAGTGGGCCGGAGCTGAGAGGCGGAGGCCTGCTGCTGTGCCTCTCGTCTCTCCTGCTCCTGAGCTTGCTCTCGCATAAGCTGCTGCCGCAGCAACACACGCGACGACATGGCTGAGGACAACAGTCGAGATCAAAGGATGAAGCTGCAAACACAACAAAAGAGAAGTGAGAATTTAAAAAAATGCTGATACTTTTGGAAAATACCCAATCGTCACCGAAAGGCCATAAAAAACATTTCAATTCCATGTGTAGCGCAATCCCCTCTTACTGCTTCATCAAACACATCGGGTAAGTGATGACAATAAAGGCCCCTATGGGCCCATGATTCAAAGGGGCCCTAGAAAATCTATCTTAAAATTGCGCATTTGTGAGAAGGGGACTTAAACAGAGGGGTTTTTTGTGTGTGTTTGTTTGTTTTTTAAAGTATGCCTTAAGTCCCTGGGGGCACCCCCCTTTTCCATGCAATAGTTATTTGCCTTTCTCGTCTGAATTTGGGGACCCTCTCCATGATTTGAGAGAAATGCCCTGTATCAAAGCGTCAATCGTGCCTTCACTTTTTATATTTGTCTTACAAATATTTATCGAAATGTTTATGCTGGTGTGTGCCAGACTATTTCTACTGCTGCGACTGGACCGAATTCATTCAAAGTAGCCTACTGAAAATGACTGTTTTGCAAGAAACCAATATGCTTCGGGCAGTTTCAAGTGAATTGTTCATTGCACATAAAGACGTTCAGAATGTATACTAGTTGGCAATAACAACACATATTCTATTTCCCAATTTCAGTTAACTGACGCAAGCGTACGGCATACGTGTGAAATAGCCCTCACAACTTCTGTGAACTCTTTGGTCGCTGATTACAGTATTGTAATGTACCTGTGGTATATTACATGTAATTCGCTTTGCCGCACATTAATAGTCCTGGTTTGACAGCTAAGTGTCGGAGGCCCTAATTCCAATTTCATAAAAAAAGGTGATGACCGTGCATAAGGATAACTATATCTGCTTTACTTGCGTGTCATCTACCATTTGCCAATCAACAAATACACATTTAAATTCGGAGCTTTGATCATTTTGCAATACTACAAAGCAGGTCGTTTTGGGGTGTTTTGCGCGGGTGTGGGGGTTCGTGGCTTAGCTAGCCAAATAGCCATGACTGTCGAGAGCGCTTGCGGTTTAACGCGTTCAAGGTAGAAATTTAATTTTAAAACATACTGTGAGAACAGAAATGTTCGACGGGATCACAGTCATGAATCCAAGAGGTCCTCGGCTTTTCTGGCCATTTTATCTTGTCGCTGACTCGAATAGCAGCTGCCGCTCGCCATGGCCGCCGCGACCAACGTTGTTTACCTCGAGCCGACGCGCTGAGGTCATCCTCCCACTTTTTACCCGGAACTTGTTGACTATGGGAAGACGATAGCGTTATTTCCTCAACCCGGGTGCCTTAACTACTTTTGGTCGTGGGGTAGATTCGGTTTCCCTTGAGGGTGGGGGGCGTTATGACTGAAACCAAATCAATCTATAATCGCATCATCATATTATTCGCATACGTGTTGATGAACGACTCGTTTTGCAGTCAGAAGTCAAAACTTAAGAGTTCAATTGCAGAGTTCCAATGTTTTTAGGAATAAGGGCAATTTGCAACTTCGGTACATATTTTAGCCAGAAATACTTTATTCAATAGCCACACTGCTCTGGCCGCCAGGTTTTGAGTGTGACACATTTGTACAAATTGATCTATCCACAAACTTATCCAGCGCATTGAATGCATATTGGAAGTGTCTAAGACTTATTGAAAGAATCCAAAAGGACAATACATAGACCAACAATCTTTTAGGTTTTTTTTTTCTTTAATCAGCTGTCACAAAACGAGAAATCCATTGCAGATGTCAAGGTGTCTGATAGTTTGGTAGCAAGCTTGTCTGGAAAAGAAGAAGAAAACAGATCAAATTTGAAGTACTGTACACATAAAAACAATATGATGATTGAAGTTTAGACACAAACCCGCTCTTTTTTGTCGCTTCTTCCGCTTCTTGCCGGCAGCCAGAAGTGCCTGGCCTTGCTGTAAAGGATCCACATTGACAATATCCTTCAAATCTGGAGCCTTGGATGCAGGATCACTTTCAGGCACGACACTCTTGAACTTCTGAGATTTTATCTCCACTGTCATTGGTCCAAACTATTAGATAGATAAAATAACCTTTATTTGGCAAGGTTTACAATGGCAAGATGGACCATTCAATAAAGTTTAAACCACATTCCGCACACATCGAATTTGTCAAGTCTGTCATTTCTGCTAGTTCAAAGGCTCACACTTCATCACACCTCTGGATCCTGCTCATCCTCCATTGATTCAGCTTCCTCTTTAAATTCCGGCTCCACTACTGACTCTCCTTCCATTTCTTGGTGAGAGGGATCTTGAGCCTGGTTGCCGTTTGTCATTCCCATGGTTTCGATGCAGAATCCCATTTGCATATCAGAACAAGATGAATCTGAAACATGACATTGCACCAATGAAAAAACACATTTGTGAAAGTTCCACTGCTAATTTCATATGCAAGTACATTATGCTTACATTATTCCTAATCTAACAATTTGGTGAAATTACCAGTGCAAATTATACAGGAAGATTGCGGGTGAAAGGAGCATACTACCTGCAAGAACTTCCCGATTTCCATTTTCAAGCTCATCCCAGTCAAAAGCTTTACCCATCTCTGTCACAATTTCAGCGCTGACGTGCATGGGAAGTGTGTGTGTCTCAGGTGGATGAGTGAAATAGCTGATCCTTCCCCTAAACAACACTCGAATCAAAACTCGCTTAACATTTCTAAGGACTCGAAAATCACTCATGTGACCCACCCTGTCCAGTCCATTAATACGCTTTTTGCTGCTTTGTCGGTGTCAGGCAGCCCGCCTTTTCTTAGTTTCCCCTGACGCCGCGCAAGCAACGCCAAGAACTCCAGAGCTGTGTGAAAGTCAGGTACTCCGTAGTGCTGAAGGATCTGCACAGCCATCAAAATCTATGCAATGACCATATCACGGCTTCAACGGTGTATAAACGTTACCGCTTCAAATTCGGTTTTCCTGGGCGTGCATAGCGTAGGAAAGCAAACGACTTACTTGTGCCTTGTTGCAACGTCGGAGGATGGCTTCAACAGGAGGAATTGGATCAACCAACTGTTCGATTTTCACACAATTCCGGAGAATCATCGCAGCGTCACTTGTTGACGTTGCCATGACGATGCCAGGACAATCAAGAAGCTTAATGTGTTTGTCCAAGTGCACTTCTTGAAGGCACCTAAACATGAAGGAAAGACATTTACTTTTCATTTGGGATTTTTTTTCTCCGAGTACCGCAGCTTGGTAGACAAAGGATATGCAAAACATGCGATGGAAAGTGTCTGCTCGAGGAGGCAATACTTGCTACTGAGGCAGAGAACAGGCAAACGAGCATGGCAGCTAATTTTTGCTCTGATGTTAGTTTACAAAGCGGACGAGTAGATATTCATTTTCTGAGAAATAAGTACTTTTACTCTTTGGGGGTGGGGGGGTGGGTACTAACATTTATGTAATAATGAAAAAAAAAAAAATCACCAAGTTTGAATTATAATAAAGGCCTCATCAATCAATCCTCGACGGGAATTCTCACTTTGTGACACCAGGAGTTGCTCCAACATTGCACGCTCTTGCACGCTTTAAACTGTTGATCAAACTGCTCTTTCCCACATTTGGAAAACCTGAAAATCAAAATTCAAGAAGATAAAATAAATAAATAGGCTGCCCTCATTTTGGAAAAGTTAACATTGCTTATTCATTCATTTCTGCTTCCCAGCAAAAGGTTCTGAGCCCACCCGTGTGCACTTTGCTTCATGTTCGCCACGTCTTTTTATCTTCCAGGTACTACAACTTCATCCCACATTCCAAAAACATACTTATGTTCATTGATGACTCTAAATTGTGTATTTGTTGCCAACTGCTGATTTTGCAGGTCAGAGGTTTATTTTTCATTTGTCCAATTCAGTCGCATTTGTGCAGCAAGCCTAATGGGTACTAGTGTTTATGACAATACACAGATGAATGGACATTCCTTTTTGCATGAAAGTATATTTTACGATGGCGGTGATTTTCTACACTACAGAAAGCCATTTGCAAAAATGTGACAACAGCGAGCGCACACAATGCAGAAATGGAGTGAGTGCCGCGCTAATGTCACCATGCAACATGTGAAAGCATCATGCCGCTGTTACGAGTGCTTACCTACTACACCCACAGTGATGGCTGTCTTTATGTCAAGGTTACGGCAGTAGTTACCGAGTAGCTTCATCAAGCAATCTGCACCAAGACAAACACTGCTGCTGAGGAGCTCTGCAGGGGCTTGAGTCACTGATACGTTACTGCGTTTCTGTCAATGACAAGAGGCAAAACTCGTGATACACTGCAATTCTCACAAAACGTATATACACAGTGGAAAGAAAAAGTATTTTTGGAATTTCATGGTTTTCTGAATTACGGTAATTTTGTAATAAAATGCAAGATAGACAAATGGGTGTCCAATAATAACAAGGTATTCTATTTTTCTTTCATATTTTTGAATGCCCTTGTATGGGGAATGTGAGCGTGGCTAATGCAAATTGGAGCATTGCAAGCAGTGCTGTCACTTAGAATTCATTCCGATTCATCAACATATGCGCAGTGGTGTGAATAAAATGGGCCAGTACCGTTCGTGTCATGAACCAGAGGGTGATTTTGCATTTACACTTGTGCGTTATTTGATAAAACGCCATTTCCTAATGGCAAAAGCCGCAATTTTAATGGGACACGCAGCGCAAGGGGGCAGGCAGAAACGTCATTGCTTGTAAATAAAGCCTGCACCGTAGGTCCACGTAATTTTTGGTAAATTTTCTGTCTCCTTAGATCATGAGATGAGTATCATCAACATGCTCAATCTTTATTTTTCTCGTGAGGTTTAATAATTGAAAAAAAAAAAAAAAAAACATCATGTGCCGTAGTGTGGGAGTGGAGAACCGTGTGTGTGGTCTTCATTATTTTAGCTGACTGTGTATGTGTTGAACAAAACACTGTATTAAAAAAAAAAAAAGAACAGTACCAAGTTTCTGGACTGCTGTTGAGTAGACGCCTTGAAAGCAACTGTTGGAAACTCATTCCGCAGATATTTAATCCACTTCTCCACAATTTCCTTCGACACTAAATCTACAAATGGAATAAAACGTCAGACAAAACCCCAGTTATTCCCCCAAGCATTTTAAACATCTGAAAATAGCATTTAGAAGACAATTCTTGAAATGGGTTGAGCTGAACCTACCAATTTTATTGAGCACCAACACAAGCTTTTTGTTTGTTCCACTTTGAATGACTGCCTGCTCAACCTGGGGACATCTGCACCCCAGTGGGTCCCGTGCATCCAAAACCTCTAAAATCACATCAGCAGCCTCCACTACCTTCGAGGACAGGACAGGAATTAACATCTGATTTAATAAGTGAATCAATCCAGCAATTTACACCTGATAGTATTATAAAAGCTCAGTAAGATAGACGCATGATGGAAAAGGACCTTTTTAAATTCTCTGTAATATGCTTTTCTTGAGCTCTCATTTTCAAAGTGCACATGTTTTTCCAAACTCTGCATCTCTGTTTCCTGTGAACATACAAAGAGGGAAATCTCAATGGCAACAGTTGCAATATGTCCTGTCCTCACCAGTGATGCCAAATTGTGGTCTGTGTCCCAGAAACGGCAATGTATTCACCCTTTGCTCAAACTCTCTCTGCCTCTGTAGGATGTCATTTTGAAAGCTTTGCAAATTCCTCCTCTTGACCAGCTGTTGTTCTCTGGAGATCTTCTGCCTTTCTTGGAGTTCTTGAAGCTTAGTCGGTTCAATAAAAGAAAGGTACAACAGGGTTCTGTATCTATCAAGGAATATATCACTTGAGCCTCATATCTGAGTGAAGGTGAAAGAGGTACCCTTTGCTTTCTAATTTCTTCTGACTTTCGGTCCTTGCCATGTTGCACAGATGACTGCTGCTTAAAACTTGTGCCTCCCGAGGCGTCGGTATTTTTCCCATCTTTATTCTGTGTACAGGGAATATACCCAATATGTAGTTAGCTGTTTCAAAGTCAATTTTCAGTCACCCTTAACAGCTCGTTAGCTACGTCGCTAAACTTTGAAACGTAGTCAGTTACGCAAAATACGAGAATCTAGAATAAATTATGTTTTACTGGTGATTTTAACAGTCGTTAGTTCGCGAGTCAGACAACATAGCATTTGACCACAAAAAATGGTGGCGCAGAGTTAAACACACGTACATCTAATTAATCTTTGACTTTGTTTTTGACTGAGTGAGCATAATTCGTCGTACCGAAGCGCCAACACCAAAAGGTAACGACGATAGGTACAGTAAATATAAAAAACACGCACCTTATGTTTCCCCAAAAAACCAAGGCGTTTAGCTCGTTTTTGTTCTGTAAAATACAAATCAAAAATATATAACCAAATATACTTGAAATCTTTTCGAGTTGATTTTTAGAGACAAAAGTCCAGACCAAATAGTTCTACGCACTTGATTTCGACATTGCTCCAACCACACCGCGTTCACGTGGGTATGTCACAGATGTGGGCATGCGCAATAGTCCATGCGTAACTTCCGGAATTTCACAGTAAAACAGCTCGGGAATTACGAATTAAAATAATACTGTACACTCAAGTTAAGGGCATTTGGAAAATAATAACATATGCAGAGCTGCCACTAATTACAAATTCACTTCCCGAACAATTTTTCTGAATTTCCGTAGTTTTTTTTAATTCTCTAGAAATATTATAGCGGGACTCCTCGCGTGGTGCAGTGATTTAGACAGGTTTCATGTTTTGTTTTATTCAATTGTTATTTAATTTATGTCAAAAGATAAATTTGTTGCACTTTTTTGGTTATAATACTCACACCAATGGACATTTTTGTTAATTTGAATGAAAAAGGACATTTGGTTTTGAATAATAAAGTATTGTCACATGTGGCCTGATTGACCTCAAGAACTGGACCTTTTTGTGACCCTTAAGGATTTTTATTTGTGTACCGCTGCAATGAAACATGTCTCTTATCCTTTGGAAGGGGTTAAACAATAAATAAAAATGTCAAAAAAAATTTACTAAAGGGCAAGCAAGTACTTGTTCACTTATGAATTGTAACTGTACACTTAACAGGAAAGCTGTTGCTTTTGGTGTATGAATTTTTAGGTCCTGATGGCAACATTGTCAAAGTGAATGAAAAGTTTCACAGACCTGCAAAAATAGTTCTAAAATGGTCTTCTGACTCTCCTCTGAATAATTTATTCATGTTTATTTTTGTTCATGTTTATATATGTATAAATTTATAATTGATACAATACTTTTCTATGGGAGAGTGTACTGTTTTGCTGGACTCATTTGTGGTACACTATCGTAAATATGGATAGGTTTTGTCAACACAAAGCACAATAACAACCCTATTTCCACCATTGTACCTTTATACATTTAAAAAATTATTTATTAGTCTCATCAAGCACTATTGTAAATGGAAAACATATGAAAGCTTTATGATTAAAGAAAGACAACAAGAGATTGAATGCCTGCATTTTTTTGTTTGTTTTTCTCATTTGCCAGAAAGCTAGATATACTGTACTAGACAAACATCCATAGAAATCGACAAGAACTTGTAGTGTGCAAAGTTTGACGGTTCCCAAATCTTCAGGAGCTGAGCACGTTAAGCTGGAGCCACAGAGGAGACTTCCGTTTTTGACGTGGATACTTCCGAGCCATCATCTACTTGTTTGCCAAAGAGCTGCATGATGCATGTGCGAAACTGATGAAAGATAGCGAAAAAGGATTTCTGAAACAAAGTTGGCGGATTTGAAATACGGAGCAGGTTGACCATTACCTGTCGATTCATGAAAACATAGATGATCGGGTTGTAGATCGTGGCGCTCTTGGCAAAGTACGCCGGCATCGCTGCAGCGAGAGGATGGAAAGCATATCCAGGATTTGCCGCAGCAAAGCAGGCAAAAAAGGTGTACGGTCCCCAGCAGAAAATGTATGCCAGAATCATGACGACAACCATTCTGGATACTTCTCTCTCCGCTTTCTGAGTGGACTCCGATTCCTTCTGCTGCAAGGCAACCTGCGACAAACAAGCGGACGTTGCTTGACTCAGGCTGGGAACTGGGATGCACCGTATTATGCCGATGATTTCACAAACTTACAGTTCGGATAGCCCACCAGACAGCAAAGTAGCACAGCATGATGATAGCCAGCGGGATGAAGCAACAAGTAATCATAAGAACGATCATGTAGGACTGAACACCGGGGTCTTCGCTTCCACTGAATACATCAGGTCCGCAGGAGGTCTTCAGTCCATGAGGCCAGTACCTGACAGGACACAATCATCGGTTTCTGTGTCCACTGATCGCTCAGTGCCAGCGCAGTCATGCAAAGTTCATACCTGCTCCATCCAAAGATCGGGGGAGCACACCATACGGCTGACCAGATCCAGGAGAACACAATTCCGCCTGTTGCCCACTTGGCATCAAATTTGATGTTTCCAAATGGTTTGCATACCACTATCCATCTCTCCCAGGAGATGATCGTCAGGGACCAGAGAGCAGTGATACCTGTGCGACAAGCAGCATTCTCAGTCGAGGAAAGTTGTAGTCACACTTCCAAATCCCGTCGCGGGCCACTCACCACAAACTGAGACAGTGTACCCCTCAAATATGCACATTGGGTGCCCGAGAATAAAATACCCAAAAAACTGGTTACAAACACTGATAGTGCTGGCAAAAACCGTTTCTCCCAGATCAGCTATGGCGAGATTGACCAGAATCCAGTTGAGAGGGTGACGGAGTTTCTTGAATTTTGCTGTTGCCACCAAGACGAGGCCGTTGGTGAACACTGACGCAACAACCACAAAAAACATCCAGCATGTTGCAACATTGTAAACCCATCGCGGGGCAATGTGGTAGTTTGGGCCTTCAAAAGGACCTGAGGAATGAAAACAGATCAAGAATGGTGTCATTTCATAAATTTGGATTGTATAGTTGTTTACCAAAACAGGTTCCAAAGTGGCTTTTGGATTTTTTTATTTTTTAATCCGTGATCAGAAAGAAAATATGGCTAATCCAAAAAAAAAAAATCAGTTACACTATGAATTCATTGCACATACAGCGCATTTGACAATAAAGTTGAACTTGACTTGACTTGAATTCAAACTGCACAGAAGCAAAAAATGTAATTACTCAACGAGTATCTAAAACACTGCAGTCTTTTCTAATTAGTTATCCGGGGGTTTATTCACCACAGAACCCCCTATAAGTGTGCAAGAATTTTAGGCACAAGACTGCCGTCTTTAAATTGCCAATTCCACAAACAAAACCCGATGCCGTCGGGGAATTAATGAGAACTAATCCGAATGCCATACTGTACCTCTGGTATTATTGCTGTTTGTGTAAGCAAACGCAGATTCCCTTGTCGTCTCGTGGTATCGCCTGGCGGCAAAGGACGGTTTATCCCAGGCCTCCGCCATGATGATAGCACAAGGAGAAATGTTCTCCCTTTCTCGCAACTTGCACGTGTCTTTAGCTTTTATACTTTTGCTGCAGAGAACTCTGATTGGATTAAGTCAAAATTAAATCACAGCCGTTGAATGGCGCTTTGCGGCAATCCGCAAGCCAATGAGCGGCAACTGTAATTAAAACCAGGAGTAATTGGGTTAAGACACCAAATGCCATGAATAATCTTGTTGGAAAGCAGATTTCCATCCGCTGACTGAAGATGCGGATTATTTGGTGAGCTCTATACGTAGAGTGTAACACAAATTTGGGGTGGCAGTAGCACATCCGTACCAACTCAGGCTTTGGAACCCAACGTTTAAGTCCTACCGCAGACAAACGTGAATCCCTTTGAACCAAGAAATGCCAACCTCCACCCCGCCCTTAGAGGTGCGGGTATCTGGTGAGTGTTTATCCCTTGTGGGTCGACACAGAAGTAATTGTCGTGTCACTCGCTGTCCTGTGAAAAACATATATGCACATTTTTGTAATTTTGAAAAAATGTTAACAAGGAACCCCGTTAATGTTTTTTTTTTTTTTTTTAAAGGACCAAAGTGTACATATGTGTTTTTCACAGGACAGTGACGATTTGGAATTAAGCAACTAAAATATACAGTAAAAGGGCAGACTTCTGCCCTATCCTCTTCTTTGTGTGCATCTTCTTTTCTGTCCTTTGTTCAACATTCACTGATGTAACAATTCACCACTGTGTGTGTGTATGTGTGCGTGTGTGTGTGTGTGTGTGTGTGTGTGTGTGTGTGTGTGTGTGTGTTCACTACTTTCCCGCATGCACTGTGGGATA